TTTGTTATCGCACCCATCTCACCCCCCCCCTCCTGGCTACGCCTATGGATATTTTGGCAACTTTCACGTTTACCCCGCCCCCTAATAATTCTTGCACCCCCTCTAAATATCAGACCCGTCAGGCGTTGAGGCATGGATCAGGATACCCTGACTCCCAAGCTGTGCGACTTCTGGCAACCGCTACACCTATATTCCCGGGGAAAACGCTTTTAGAAAAATTGTCAAATATGGTCGTGTGTGGGCAAACACGGAGGAGGAGGAGAGGGGTGCGTGCATTGTGTGCGACCCTTCATCAGTTGTGTACCTTATTTTTTGTATGAATTTCTTCCGAATAGTTATGCTAGAGGGGTTCTGATATTTATTTCTGTTTTCAAATGAAATAATTTCACCCTTGCCCGACTGACTTGTAGATAATGCACGAATCAAATAGCATGGAGATCAGATAATCAGATTGATTCGTATTTTCGCAATCAGATGAATTAACTTATTGTTTTCTCTGATTAAAAGGCGGTTTGAAGCTACTTTTACAGGATTTGTAAATTCGCAATCAGACTAGCTTATTTTAATATTTAGTCAGTGCAAGAGGAGGGGACTATAATGTAGAAAATTGTTTTGGTTTCGACTCTAACTGAATAATTTATCACAATTGTTAAATAAGCAAACAGAAACAGGTTTAAAAATGAGAATAGAGGCAAAAAAGTCTATACATAAAATGTAATCAAAACCCGGGAATTAAAAGCAATTTTAGACTGTTAGATGATCTCTTCTGTAATCAAGGTGATGTTGGTACACTTCCGCCGTTAGAAAAACAAAGACTAAGACAAAGACTATATAGCAATAATAATTAATCCTTTTGTAATCATTAAATGTTAGATTCTTATTATTTTGTTGGACAATGTTCAGACTTCTGACCAAGATTAAATCATTTATGTTTGTATTTAAAAATAGTATTTCAATCAGACAGACGTTCTAATGAGTTAGAAAAATAAATTTGTCCATTTCCTCTCAATAAGTTTTCAAAGGTAATCAAGTCGATTTGTTTGAGTGTTTAGCATTGTTTTTCATAACTTGACGCTTCCATGAACAGAATGACTTTGAAATGAGTTTTTATAATTTTAGCTTTTATACGGACATGCTTATTGTATATTTCTATATGAACGTTGTAGTTATGTGATGTAACATCGCCCCCCCCCCAATTACAGGTATACAAATTTTGGTCGGAATGCATTAACTTGCAATTAAAAGCAATTTTAGACTGTTAGATGATCTCTTATGTAATCTAGGTGATGTTGGTACACTTCCGCATTTAAGAAAACAAAGACTAAAACAAAGAGAACTAAGCAATTAATCCTTTTGTTATCATTAAATGTTAGATTCTCATTTTTTATTGGACAATATTAAGACTTCTGTCTCCGATTGTTATGCAGGTATGTGTATAAAATCATGTGAACAACATTATCGTGGAAACTCCCATATTCATTCTCATAATGTCTTACAGCTATTTCGCAAATGACATAATCCTAAACAACATATGGAAATAATAGTGCAGAACTGAGCGAAAAGAAAGGTGGAACAAATCAGATTAAGATATTTTATTTTTGAAATGCACAGAGGGCAACAGTTGAAGAACAAAAGTTAAAGGCGTTGTGAAATAGATCGTGCTTTTATATGATCCCCTTCTATAGTACCCTACCCTTTGCATTCGTTCGACTTCACTTCTCTAATGAGAGTTTCGTCTTCTCGTAGTTTATAATTAGACTCTGCACGCAGCGTAATAGTTCCCCTATTATCCATGTTCATGTTCTCATTTGATTTTTCATCAGTTATGACTTGGTAATATTTGTTCCGATTTTCATTACGGCGCCCGGCCGATTGAGTATTTTGTTCAGAATTGAATACAATTTTGAACAAAATACTCAACGGCCGGGCGCCGGTGCTGAAAATCTGAGCAAATGTGACCACGGCATTATAAAAGCATACTCTTTAATACACGAACAGATTCAAAATGAGACTTTATCTATCAGAGAAATAAAAATGGAAAATTTGTATTCTGAAAATATTAACTGATGCATTGGTTAGTATTAAATATTAAGTTTTACAGTCGGAAACCTCAAGGGGCGGGAAATTTGATTAAACAAAACGCCGGATTAATATGTGGACAACTTGCAAATGAAATGTAAGTAACATGACAGAACGAGTATGTACGCCCAATAAATACTTTTATAGTTTTAATGTGCATTCAAAGGACCCCGTTTGTAAAATTGATAGAAATGAATAGTTTTATTACCGGAAAAAACTGAGAAATATCTACCCGATTCGCCAGAATAGTCATCATCATATCAGTGCGAAAAATTAGCTATATTTATTTTCTATGCGATATACACCTGATATTGATAGCCTTCCACGATCATGGTCCGTTGACATCATCAACCTTGTGATTTGCCATAAGTGATTAACCAACATTTTAAAACAATTTAAAGTCGGGGTTGACGTTTCTTGACTTTTCACACTGACATCCAAACAAAACATAATTTGAAAATAAAAGGCATAAAATGGCCATTAAAAGTACATTTTTGAACAAAAGTATCAACTTATATTACACTGCACGCAAATACAAAGTGAAAAGAACGTCTTCCCGGAGATTGAAATACGGATCGGTAAGTCAACAAATCTAACTGTTAAATAAACATGCTTAGCCTATGTCTGCGATTGTTTGTCTGAGTGGCCAGATGTTATCCGTTTCGGATAATAAATTTCTGAGAATACTACTGATATCTAGAATACATCTTCCGTGATATTTTTCATAAAACTACCCTTTGCATTCGTTTGACTTCACTAAAAGAGAGCTTCGTCTTAGTGTAGTTTAACTAGACTCTGCACGCAGGGTATCGTAAAACAGGCATCTTAGCTGCAATTTTGAATAATAGCGTAATTCATAGCACAATATAAATTAACCCGCCTCTGTTTAATTCAAATATGCATTACCCTTAAGAATCATATACTTAGACACCTTTTCATTCTTGATTCGAATTTTTATCTTGTCTTCATCTAAATTTGTGGATTAATAACAGTTTTTAGTATACAAATTGAACATACAAAATGTAGCGTATTGATTACACGTTACAGTGGCGTAGCCAGCTTTCAGTCGGGGGAGGGGGGGGGGGTGTACGATTGTGGCATAAAAAATGTTTTTGAAGATTTGTTTTGAATTTTACAAAAATTGGTGCAACTTCAAATAAAAAGCATTTTAAGACTTTTTTCTTCTATCTAATGGTTCTATTTTCATTGGTTATGGAGGGGGGGGGGGGGTGCGATCGCACACATCGCATCCCCCTGGCTACGCCTATGCGCTATATTAATATAACAAGGTTATCATATCATGCCAATAGTTATATGGTTAACTAATATTAACACAAAATAATAATACACGATAATTAAAAAAATAAACCTCGGTATTCGGGCCTAAAATCCAAGGATACGTGTACCATTACTTAAGTGTAAGCTGCAATACCATATCGAATACCTGTACCATTACTCAATAATAACCACTAGTAAGACCATAATAACAAGCTTAATAACTAGCTTATCGCAAATTATTCCATACGATTTTGTCTTGTGTACTAATCCACATGATACATCATAATTAAATTGCTTTTTTAAAGCGGATATTTCATACCATAACCCCAAAAATATTATAAAATGCGTTGTATTTGTATTTTACTTCACACAGACATATTTGTGTACGTGAAATAATTATATTACTTGAATTTTTTATTCCCCATTATAAAGTAAACCTATGGCAATTATACATACCTTCTCACAGCTATGAGCGAGGTGATAAAACTGGTCGAGTGAACTCGTTTGAGTTATCTATTTGCTGTAAAAATATCAGAGAATGTGTGTTTATAGCGTTGCTTTGGTTTGGTAAATCAATGAAGTATGATATACACGGATGAGTAAATATAGATTATTTAAACAAAAGTGCAGAATTCTTCCATTGAAAAGTACAGAGGCGGGTACTCACGAAACATTACATGTGCTTGACTGCATCCACATAGATCGACTAGCCACAGTGTGTGATGTCAATACCTAGGTATGGGATGTGTGTTACCGACTTAAGGTTTTCCCCTAGCATGGTGTAATTGTGAATGATAGGGGATTTACCTTTGTGAATATTTAGCACATAGCATTTTGATGGATGGAATTTCATTTGCCATGTTGATGCCCAGGAGACCAGTTTATCTATATTCTCCTGTAGTGTTAATGCATCTTGCTTGCTTTCGACTGTCATGAATAAAAGGCTGTCGTCAGCAAATAGTTTAAGACTGGCTGAGGATGATAGGTTGTTGCCCATATCATTGATATAAACAAGGACACAGAGTGGTCCAAGAACTGTTCCTTGAGGAACTCCTGATTTTTGTATCATACATTTAACTAATTACCTCATTACTACACACCAATCTTACAAAAGGAGCACACAGCAATTTACACGAAATTTAACAAAACAACCATTGTTTTGAATTTTGAAATTTATTCTGTCATTTAACATTTTTATTTTTCCTCTGATCGCAAGTTTGCAGATGCTGCTTTCCATAATAACGACATTCATTAATCATGTTTGCTTCGTTGTTTAAACTTAATTTAGTCTATCTGCAAAAATGATGTTTAGCATTGGCAGTCCTGACCAAGACCAAGTGACCGTCCTCTCATGCCTGAATGAATCAGACTCCCAACATTTGCACACTATCCATGGTATCGTATCATATGGTTTCGCCTATACTTTATATTAAAGAAGAACCAAATATGACAACATTTTATACATTGCTTCATATGGGTATGTAAAAAAGTCATTGTAAATTCTACATGTTTGACTAGCTTTGTATAATTTTCAATAATTATACTTACTTAATTATTCAAAACAAAAACCACATTAATATACGTAACCACAAGCGCTTTTGAAAATGATCAACTTAATCATAAACTTTCTGTAAAATGTATAAATTAAGCGTTTTGATCTAACGAGTCAGATGTGGATTTAGCTTTAGAGTGCTGAACATGGCTCGCCTCATCTTACTGCTTTTGATGATCTCGTGTATAATGATGAGCTCAGGAGCTAAACTCAAGAAAAACAGGAAAAGCAAGATGAGTAAGTTAATTATAATTAACGGTTATTCTTCTTTGAAGATGATGTCAATGATGAAAAATATATATCTGATCCAATTCCCTAACATATGGCTGCTTAATTGCATTGCTTTCTAATATTATGAGATTTCAAAACAGAATGAAACGTTACTATGACGTGCACGGTTACTATGACGTGCACGGACCTGAGGACAATTCGGGAAATGAGGGGTAATCTCAGCTTATATTTAATTAAGCATTAATTTCTGCTTTATTAGAAAAGCTAACTATGTGTTTTATATATCATTTTGAAATATTTTTTATTCGCATTTTGGTGAAATTATTTTTCCTTGAAAAGTTTGATGGGATCTACCATATTAAAGTTAAATATACCCCGACATCGTCAAATACGCTGTAAGACGTAACACTCTACGCTTACACGGCTCGTTGAAATTGGGATAACTTTTGAAATAATGATCAGAATCCCACTTAAATTTCACATTTTATTCAATGGAACATGTGCATTTATGACGTCACAATTGCGTAACGGTTTCAATCCAAATTGTCTTAATGAACGCTTTTAAAATTTTCAAAATTGTGTAAGGCTTTTAAGGCGAATGGGACGAGCAATTCGTTTACCTTAATTTAAGACTGATTTGAAAAAATTAACTGCACAATATTGTCACGGCGAAATTTACAAAACAATAACCGGTTTGCTTACTTCGCATATAATATTCGAATAGGAGCTGATTTTCGAGACTTGAAAAAAAATGTGACGCATTGATTTTTTACCATAAATTCCATACATCTCAATTTTTACTAACGCCCCGAGTTGATTTCTTGAACGTTTTTCAAAATTCAAAAACATTTTAGAAATATTGTCCTCGAGATCTTGCTACCCTGTGAATTTTATCATGATGAGATAAGGATAGAGTATTTTCCTTTTGGGTTGACTAAAATGTGACACTCGTCGTTTTTTGACGTTATAGGGTTATTTGCGCCCTATAACGCTCGCATTGTTTTGTTTTGGTATTTTGACGTCGCCATAATGTTACGCTTATTGTCCCCAGTTTCGCGCGACGTGTATACATAATAAGTGCCTACGGTAGGTATAAGCATGAATAAGGAATTATTTATCTTCTAATAACAGACAAAGATGTTTCTAAACATATATTGGGGATACAATACTCGGATTCGTGATTATTCATTGGTCCTTAAGACGTAAAAATAGTTGGGACTACAGAGTCTATACGTTCTTAGAGGCATCAGGCCAAGGGAATATAACTCAAATGGAAAACTTAAATGCTAAAGCTATTTTAGAAGAGGTCAAGCTTTATCAACAATCTCAAGATCCCTTTCTAAAAAACATTTGGAATGACAAAAACAATGAAGTGAACGGTAATAAATTAAGAACTTTCAGGCAATTTAAGTATGGAGTAGTAGCAGAAAGTTATGTAACTTGTTTCATCCCAAGACACCATCGAAGTGCATTGGCTAAACTGAGAACTGGGACGCTACAACTCCGTATAGAAACTGGTAGATATGATGGTACTCCTCTGGACCAGAGAACTTGCAAACTCTGTGATTTGGATGAAGTTGAAAATGAAATTCATTTTCTGATAAAATGTCCACACTATAAGCTCCTAAGGAATACCTTCTATAGAGAGATTGTGCAAGAGCAATTGCCATATATAGACTTGAATAATGCAAATTCACTTTTGACATTTATTAGCCTAATGCTTGCCAAGAAGATTCAAAAACCTCTAGCAGCTCTTATTCATAATATGTATTCAAAAAGGCAATTTGACTATGGCAGATTATAGGAGTTACATTTGTGAAGTCCAGACTTGGTTAAAACTGATACTTTTTAGAATTAAAGATATAACTGGGCAGCAGGTGTGTGTCCCCAATCTGTTATAGTCATTTTCCAGCACTTGGCTGCAAAATTTATTGTATCAGTACAGTTTATTTATGTTTGCATGCATATTCATTTATTGTGATAATGGCCATTAATAGAAAATATTTGTCAAAGCATTTAAAGATGGCAGCACTTGAATACTACTCTATCTAAGAGTGCTCTATTAAGTCAACTTACTCTAGTCAATATTCAATTACAATTAGATATACATTTAATGGTGTCTCCTAAGCTGATGCCGGTGTAACAGATTTAAGTGTCCCCCGGTGGTCAGTGTCCATGGAGGACATTGAAAACCAGGTTTTATTTCCTATATTAACAAGGGTAAAATGGGGAGACAGTTATAACTGGGGAGACTCTCAGATCTGTCACACCAGTAACAGATTGTAATGTCCCCCGTTGATAGGATTTAATACTTGTAGTTACTAGGATCCAAGTTATAGTGTAGTCGAAATCGGATATCGGCATCTCTCCCACTGTGGCGTAATGGTATAAACGTTGGCATAATGTGTATTGATTAATTGTGTTTGTATTTATTAGGCTCCAGGTTCGAATCCTGCATTGATATATCATGTGTAAATATATTAACCGTCTGCACCGTTTATATTGTATTGTATCGCACTACGTGACCACATTTAAAAATGATACAGGGTACGGTTAAGTTGCAAATGGAGCGGGTATTCTCTATCTTTGTCCATTGGGCTTTTCTGGTAATAATACGTTAAAAACTGCTCGATGAATCTATACAATGTATAGTAGAACACTTAGAATATGTGTAAAATCTAGTATACATTCAGAACTATGGAAATAAACAAACGTCCTCCATTTGCAACTTCGCTGTAGCCTGTATTTCTTTTAAAGGAATACAGGATACAGTATGGGGGTATAGTAGTGTGTGTATGTTATATAGTCTCAATAGATTGTAATATTCTATATTGTAGCCTATTATTATTGGTGCCCATTTTTTTCATTTTCAAAGGATACCACCAGTTTTTTTTATTTATTCCTCCTTACCACTTTTCTCCTACTTCTAGCTAGGTCTGAGATAACTCTTATATGCTTCTACTAAGGACCTGAGCTGCACTTGGCAGGGAAGGAATTTTTATCTAGGTCAAGGTCAAAGGCCAAATCTAGGTCAAATCAGAGTTTTTTTTAAGTTTCTCAGATTTCGTCTTCATATTTCATGATTATTTATTACAATGAATTTAAATGTAACTAGATAAGCATTCCCTACAAATTGCTTACTATATATTTGCGTTAAATTTTTACCGTTTTTGAGATAATTGACGTAAAAAAAATTGGTCATTTTGCTTCAAATTGACCAATTTATTTTTTAAAAATCATCTACAAGTCCCCGGGAACTCAAATCTGACCTTTCTTTTGACCTTCTGGGTTCAAATTTAGGTTTATTTAATCACAAGAAGACCCACTGATGTCTAAGAAAGGCAAAGGATAAGTATCGATATGGTGAACTGAATTCAACAATGTTTTTCTTTTAAACCATTTATAGGAAACATTTTGTAAAAAACACGGTCCTTTATGTAATGTTGACTGATTGGCAACAATTTAATGCAAAAATAATGTATATATATATTTTATATAACTGTTTTTGTTAACATTTTTTTATGTAATTGTTTTTTGTTCTTTTTTACGAATTTTTGAGAATGAAATAAAATGTCTTTCCGCACCTTGTTGGAACAAAATAGCATAAACAACATTTTCTTAGACCTCTCAATATTATAGTTATACAAAGACAATTTTGGTTGATTTAACAAAAAGTATCCAAAAACTTAAACAAAACCCCTAAAATAGATAAAAATTAAGATAAACCTTTCATTTCATTAACAAGATACTTATTTAAAATCAACCAAACTTTCCTTTGTACAATTGCAATATTGAGAGACCTAATAGTCCAGTAAAACTGTGGCAAAAATTGACAAATGAAGGAAAAAATTGCAAAAGATTAAAAGACATATCAAAAATCTAGAAAAATCTAAGTAGTGGAAAACTTCGAAAATCACCATTTATACCCCCTGGGTTACGAGGGGGTACTATGATAAACCTTAATTATTCCTGTTATGTACCCCAGATCACATTCAAATTTTCAGGGATCATGCAGCTCTATATAGTCAGTTACCATGGCAAGTTTGATATTGATTGGTGAAATGATTACCATAGCAACACAATTTGATTACACAAAAGCTGTAAATATTTTGGATAAATCCAAAGCTTCCTTAAAAATAAAAGCAAATGTCTGCTTATCTTTTTAAGTTATTCCAAATGAACACAAATTTGACCTTTAAAACAAATTTAGGGAGTTTTCAATAAGATAACATGATCAAAATGATGAACTCGTGGATGACTATGACTCTGGACTCTATTGATATTTGGTCGGTGACTACTGCTCAATCTACTAAAAAGTGGGTGTGGTACTTTTGGTTACATTTTCTAACAATTTCAATTTGACAGTATCAATCACAGTCATATTTATAGGGGTCATGAATACAGATATTACAATTTGATATGGTAAATCTGAACATGATTGGTCAAGTGGTTGCCATAGTAACACAACATAATTAATGCAAATAGTGGCTAGAGATCATTTCAAATAATCCTTATATCTTAACAGGTTGTTCCAATTATATTCACCTTTTAAGAGTAATTTTGTGTATGATTCTAACAAAATTAAGTTTGGATAATATTGATACATGGTTGTTATGGCAACTTAACTGATAATGATGTTTGTTTTGACACATGCTTTGCTACTGTAGTATCTTCTTAGTACAAAATACGGCAGGCCATGTCTCTAACTCTCTGTCTGTCTGGATATCTCCTTCTAGACCCTTCAACCTTGAGTCATCATGCTTGATCAATATTCTTAGTGGATCAATGAGTATCCTATTAAGGTCATAGGTCAATATCAATTTCTAGGTGTTAAAGTATTTTGGGGCCTTGTTGACCCACTTGTATGGGTAGTGATTGCTAGTATAAGTAATGGAATTATGTTCAATTTGAATTGTTTTCACAATTCAAGTTTAAATGTACTTGTTAAAACATATTTATATCTACTTCCATTGTGTCTCAATCTTTCTGATATAAAGTTGTTTGTAAGAGGATGTATTCATCTCAGACTTTGGAGGCTGAGGCTGTACCCATCTTGAGACTCTTGAGACTGTACCATCTCAGATTCTGAAGGATGTATTCATCTTAAACTCTGGAGGCTGTACCATCTTAGATTCTGGAGGATGTATTCATCTTAGACTCTGGAGGATGTACCATCTTAGATTCTGGAGGATGTACCATCTTATATTCTGGAGGATGTATTCATCTTAGACTCTGGAGGCTGTACTATCTTAGATTCTGGAAAATGTATTTATCTTAGACTCTGGAGGCTGTACTATCTTAAATTCTGGAGGAAGTATTCATCTCAGACTTTGGAGGCTGAGGCTGTACCTATCTTGAGACTCTTGAGACTGTACTATCTTAGATTCTGAAGGATGTATTCATCTTAAACTCTGGAGGCTGTACCATCTCAGATTCTGAAGGATGTATTCATCTTAAACTCTGGAGGCTGTACCATCTTAGATTCTGGAGGATGTATTCATCTAACCCTACTATCACACCAAACTAGTTCCCACTACGTTCTCGAAAACGGGCTTCAACTGTGTACGAACGGACTGGACCTACTAAGGACCGTTTGGGATCTATTTACAAACTTCATCGAACGTACTCGAACGGGTAGGTCCTTTAGAACTTAGACACTGCTCAAAATGTTCTCGTGGTCGTCACGTTGTACAATTAGAGCGAGTGACAACGTACTAACGACGAGCTGGACGTTCTACGAACGGAACCGTCGTACTTCAATCCTACTAGGGACGTTTTAACAACGAGTTGAACTGTCTAAGGACGTGTTGAGAACGAGGTAGAACTAATTGCAAACGGATTTAAACTGATAAAGAACGTATTTAACACTGCTTATTAACGAGTTAACAAAAATATAGCTATCACACCAAACAAGTTGCCACTGCGTTCTTCAAAACTGTGTGCGAACGAAATGAACGTAGCTGCAACTTTCTAAGGTCTATTTTCGAACTTTATGAACGTTCTCAGACGGGAATGTGATTTTAGAATTTTGAATCGATTCAAAATTCGATGGCGACCATACCGTTCTATAATCAGGTCATAATGACCTTCTAGACTAAGGGACGCGTTCTACGACGTTGCACACCGACCTGGTGCGACCTGAACGAACTGCGAACGAGATGAACGTATTGAAGACTGTTTAAGAACGAAGAAGCATTCATCTTAGACTCTGGAGGATGTACCATCTTAGATTCTGGAGGATTTATTCATCTTAGACTCTGGAGGCTGTACTATCTTAAATTCTGGAGGATGTATACATCTAAGACTTCAGAAGCTGTACCATCTTAGATTCTGGAGGATGTATTCATCTTAGACTTTGGATACTGTACAATCTTAGATTCTTAAGGCTATAACCATCTATGACAATGGAGGCTGTACCATTTTAGTCTCTGGAGGCTGTTCCCATCTTAAGACTCTGGAGGCTGTGCCCAATTTAGAGTCTGTAGACTGTACCATCTTAGGCTCTGGTAGCTGAACTATGTTATAGTCTAAGTGCTCTACCATATTAAGGCATGGGATGATACTTTCTAGGGATTGAGCCGCATGTTCTCTGGGGATTGGAACACGGTGCAGAATTTTGAATCAACATTGCAACATACATGTACACTCTAAACATACATATGGTAGAATACTCTCATAGTCAATATATTGCAAATGACATGGATTGAATGGGACCGCAACTTAGTCAGCACCTCAGCTTATTTCAGCAGTTGAGGTTACATTATTTATATTTTCACTTATCAGGCTATTGCTGAAGCACTTAATAAAAAAATAAGAACATTTATGATAATTACAGGCACAACAATTAGATTGAAAAATATTTGAACTCCTTTGATACTCCTTTTAAGTAAAAATGTAGTTAAGATAATAAGTAGGTGTCCCTGGCCCCGCCCACATTTTACATTAATCACGTTTTGTTGCTATGACCTACTGTGAGTAATTTGCGACCCATTGTTACTATTGACCAATTATGATCAAGATTACCATATCAATTGACGATAATGGGATTGATGACCCTATGAAAATGACTGTGATAATAATACCAACATAAAATTAATAGGAAATGCAACCAAAAAGTGCCACGCCCACTTTTCAATTCACCCCTGCCCCATGATGTTAGAATTGTCAAAATTAAGAACATAAATATATTCTGTTCATCTACAAAATTATATTTTATTGTATTTTACACACCATTGGCACAATAATATGTTGAATATTTGGTTGATATACCTCTTATTTTAAAAGGATGATGTTGCTCTCACCCTGACCCTAAAACTGGACCTAGAAAATGAACAAATTATAAGAACTTAAATAATTTTTTTCTGTCAAACAAATTAACCTACAGTACTGATATTCATAGTGTCTAATGTCTGATAGTAGGACAACTCTCATGAGTTTTTAAAAGTACTCACTATGTCTAAAGATCAAATTATAGGCATTTATAGAGAAAAATGGGTGAAAAAAGCATATAAGGTAAGGTCATGAACACACACAAAAATGAAATTTTCTCAATATTTTCAAACTTTCTTCTATGAAACTATCAATTTTGATATCTTTCTTATCCATACATGAAAAAACAAGGGACACTTTAAAAAGAAAGTAGTGTTATAATTGTTTTTAAATAAATTGTTGTCATTTTGGGGGGTCATTGAGGGGGGTATCTTCAGCATGAAAATTCATAGTCTTCCACTACTTAGATTTTTCTAGATTTTTGATATGTTTTTTTACTTATCAAGACACATTGATTTCACCAGGTTTAAAAACTTTTGCAATTTTTTCCTTTATTTTTGTGTTTTTTACTGGACGAGACCTAAACACGTTGTGTTTATATGTCGTTTTGTTCCAATGAGGTTCGGATAGATATTTCATTTCATTCCGAATATATGATACCAAGAACGAAAAAAGTGTCTGATGTGTTTTTCTAAAACAATATAGAGAAAAGTCTATATATATAATTCAAATTATAATGTTACCATCCAAAAGATGACCATTAAATGGACGATGTGTAAAATTTTCAGATTGTTTTGATGACTGGTTTAAGAGAAACGCGTGTTCAAAAAGTTCATCATATCGATACCACTCCTTTGCAAGGTCAAATGTCAAGGTCATCAAACTAAATCACAAACTGTGTTTTCTTAGTTTATCAAAGTTGATGATTACAAATCAATATTTTTTGATGAAAGTCAGAATATATATTCCACTAAAGGTTCTACACATATAAGCAATTGACTATCCATTAAAATTGTGCGACAGTTTTGAGATATTAGACCTCAAAAACTGAAAAAAGGTCAAATTTCGAAACTTTTCAAGACTAAATTTCAACTTGCTTCAAATTGACCAAACATTTTTTAAGATCATCAAAACTATTCGAACGACCCTTGTATTTAGGAGTACATATACACGATAAAATGTGACCTATGTTCATTAGTAGTAGAGGACAGTGATGCAGAGTCATTAAGGTTAATGTAGGCCCACTTGATGTCTATGCAAATAAAAGCAATAATATACTTACATTTTGTGAATTGTGTTATATTTGGTCTATATTTAACGTGACAGAGTAGTGCTCGATGATTTATTAATGATAAAACGCATTATTAGTTAATACATAAATAAAGGGGGGGGGCACTAAAAACTAGCTTTCGAATGATGCTGGTTTTTAGTGTCCCCAAGGGGACATTCAAAACTTCAAGGGGGACAAGCATCCCCAGGGTTAACTGTCCCACGGACACTGGCCACTGGGGACACTTAGATCTGTTACACCGGTTGGTGGGTTTTTTAAAAAAAATTTACATGTATTATATGATATTGAATGTAGTTTTTAAACCTGTGACACAGAAATAAAATATTTTAAACTTTAAACTATTATTTTTTATTCCATAGAATGGTCAACTTGGGAACCATGGAGCTCGTGTGAAAGTCTAGACAACCCACTGGCTGTGCGCCGTCGATTTTGTGTGGACGCATCTGGGAAGAAAGTGGACGATTTAAAATGCTCAAATGATAAATGCGACAACTTTGAGGTGGATTGGGAGTATTGCAAGGTTCCAAAAGGTGAAAATTAACTATTGTGAAGTTTAGGAAAAATAAACTAGTGGATATATACATCATTGATTATATTTGAGGTTATTATTTGTATTGCTATGTTTTTGATTCATTATCAGACACGCCGCCTGAATGGACGCCGTGGGGAGCGTGGACGGGATGTGACCCAAGTGTTTGTATACCCGGGATGAGAGTCAGAGATTGTATGAAAGGAAACATCAAAGTTGCTGATTGGCGATGCAGCAAGAGTGCAAAGGGAGTTGAGGTCAACATTTTTCATTGTGAGAGCTGTCGAGGTATGTACGACTATTCCAATTAGTTTTGGATCAAGTTGATTTTTATTCGAAGAATTTCATAAAAATATTTTGTTAACTAGAACAATATAAAATTCGATCCAGTTTCCATGTACCACTGTGTGTACAAAGTCAAATGTATTCTGTTTTCCTGCTTATTATAATAAAAGTGCCGCGTGGCTTAAATTCCTAAATGGCGTTTTGCCGAAATCGTATTAAGTGAAACTCAAATTGATTTTCCGTCTATCATACATCCGTGATGCTATAAGGGCAAAGGGGTTTCAGGAGCTGAAGCACGTAGAATCCCTTTAACATCCGAGTAAGACAGTATGCGCTCAAATAACCCGCTTTCTTTCCTGAGAATGCGCGAAGGTAGTGACGGATATATATCTGAGGCCTTACAATTATAGTTGCAGAACGGCAAATTGTATACAATACAACAGCTGAGTTGACTGAGAAGCAAAGGAAACAACTGAAGAAAGCACATGGGTCACCACATAGGGCAGCAGAAAGAGAAGGGTTGTCATGGGTAGTGACCATTTCTCTTAACGGAGAACACTTCTGTAGCGGAATTATTCTTAGCGATAAGTGGGTAATCACTGCTGCACATTGTATGTGTGGAAGAGATGGCAGCTGCTGCGATAAATCCAACAGAATGATGTAAGTAAATTTATTTCTTAGCAACGAAGTGCTTTCTAATCCACCAAAACAAATGTTGATTTCTCTGCCATTGCATATCTTGACCAAAATAATCGACATTTACAAGTGACAAGTAATAAAATGCTCTATACTTATATCAAAGGGGTTCAAGAAATTATATTTCAAAGTTTATAGAATTTCGAATCTTTAACTCTTCTGCATTTTTTCAATTCCAATCTTTCCTGTATGAAACTTAAAATGGTATTACACATGTGTATCACTGGCGGATCCAGGAGCTAACAAGAGGGGGCACATTTTAAGTCAAGAAAAAATCGCGGAAAAAATGTTGGGTGGCCCTGCAAAATTGTTCGGCCAAAAAACGTTGGGGCCCTAACATTTTTTTCTTGGCCCGTCCAACGGGGGGGGGGGGGGCATGCCTCCCCTTTAGATCCGCCAGTGTGTATCTTTATATCTATATGGCGCGATCTACATGTCCTATATTATTGAAAATTCAAATTATATTTCATACAATGTTGGCCGACAATGCCGTTTAAAGATGTGATACAAAGAGTTGGAAAGTCACTGCTGGAATCAGAGATATTTCGAAAACAAAAGCAAAACACGCCCAGTCCAGAAAGGTTTCCCGTGTGATTGTTCCTGAAGACTACATACTCGACCTTTTACATAAGCCTAAAAGGAAAATTATTATGGACATTGCTTTGATAGAATTGGATGCAACTTTCGATTTTACTCCAACTACTGTCCAGCCGTGTCTGCTACCCGCCAGAAGGTGTACCACCATGGGAACGGGGGAAGTCTGTGAACATTTTGGTAAATGGGCTAACAACCGAGAGTGCCACTCCGCGGGATGGGGTGAAGAAGTCAGCAAGTCAGGAAGTCAGTCATTTTTATCATTTTAATAAATAAGTAAGAATCTGAATTTGTTAGAGTCATTACATTTGTAGCCAACAACGTGGTTGGTATCCAGGCATGTTTTTGAGAGAGGGAGATTAGGGATCAAGTGGGGAGTAGGATAAGGGCGAGAGAGGCATAGGGAAGAATAGAGACAGGGAACAAGTATTTGAAAAAGATATCAGCGTTTTTCCAAGTTATTGTTGTCATTGAACTTTGTGCACATTCCATTTAGTATACTATGTATCTTTGACGTAGGGAATATTGGAAGAAGAATAAAGCTTATGATTGATTTTAATTTAACCGTTGGAACTGATGGAAATGAAGGTAGCTTCAGAACGATACCTGATGGTCTTAATAGAGGTCAAGTGCGTGGAGTAAGTTCAAATTCATTGAGCTGCGATACGTAAAACCTTTTCATCATTGTATTTAAAAAGAATTCTGAACCAACTTAGAGAAGGCGAGATAATAAATGAATAGGCTAATCCAGTAAATAATGCCATCTATTGGTCATGATGTCATTCTTATAATTTCAGTGCAGAAATAGGATTAAAATATTGCTAATTCTCAAAAACTTCTTTCAATTTTGTTTACAAACATTGCTGCCTATATCTAACTAATATACCCTAGTTTCCTTGGTTCACAAATAGGGGTCAGGATTTATTGAAAAGGTCTATTGTAAAAATATTTTTGGATTGGGGCTTTGAGAAAATAAGATATATATTCCCGTCGTTGCAGAGATATCATTTCAAAGGATACCTAGCACATACTGCATAATAAAATCTGAGCAAAGGCATTTACATATTTTCTGTTAGGGTTTTAGTGGAGGTCCATTGGGATGCGAAAAAGAAAATACAACCATCGGAGGAGTTGTTCCACCACAGAGTGATGTCGTTATAGGTGTCAACAGTTTAAAACTTATTGCTCATAAGAAAACATCGCCGATACTTCACTCTTCTCTGTTCGACAAAACTACAATGACGTGGATAGCTGATAAGATTGTTTGTACGTATATAGTCTCAAACCTCCTTATTTGAGTTAGACTTTTGCTGTACTAACTTATACGCAATTACAATTGCACTGAGGCATTTCTATATGAATTAAAATATGTCGTTTGTTTGTTAGCGTGGGGTCCCTGGGGAAAATGCACAAAGTCAAAAGACGGGAGAAGAACAAGAATTCAATCTGGTTACTTCATAGAATTTGGATATTTTCCCACCGATGGCCCATTGTATCAATATCTCACTGGAAGTACAATCAGAATGGATTCACGAAAGTGTATTGAAGGTGTTAAAGCATTTAAAAAATACTATTGGTCTCATTCTTTGGATTTTAACCATTTGGATCTCATGTTAATATTAACGCAATTTACTTCATGCCATTCTCTGCTGACGCAATGGCACATCACAATGAATCGAATATAATGACATACGTAATAAGTGTTACATAATTTGCAATGCAACACTATTTTGAATTAAAACGGTACATTATTTTTAAATTAATTGATTTTCGTAAATAGCATACTTCAACATCACTGAAATTCAAAATAGAATCTGATTTCACAAATCTCAGTTTTTGGTTTCCATAATCACAATTTATACCACATGAAAGCGAGACAATTATTCCTGAATTATATTAGGTTTATTGTAAAACGTTACATAAACTTTAGATTTCGTATCGGTTAACTCTCTGTAGTATTTTCATGAGACCGATGCCACGAGTTTTTCTAAAACAATTGAGCGCATGCTCAGGCGCATTACATCAGGTTATTTTGAAGTGTAAGCGTGTGTTTATGTAACATAAGGATGGAAACATTCCAGAACCTTGCGTTGATCAACCTTGTGAGAATGGTGGCATATGTATGGCTGTTGACACAACATTTAAATGCAAGTGTGCGAGTGGATGGATCGGCCCTACATGTGAAAATAGTAATGTGGACTCTTTTTAGTTTTTTCATTATTATCTTTTAATCTATTTTTCATCTATTGGTCATCTTATCAATTATGCGAAATAACCCTTATCACCTTTTCTGATTTTCAGAGAATCCAAATATCGTCCTCATAATTGCCGATGCCGTTGGTTATAATGATATCGGCTTTAGGAATTCTAAATTTGTGACGCCAATTTTGGATGACCTATCAAAAGAAGGGGTTAGATTGGATAATTATTACGTAGAGTCAATGTCAACGGCATTTAGAGCAAGTCTGATGACAGGACGGTATCACGTATGTATATATCTTAGAATACCATGTAATTGATCAACATTAAGGACCGTATCCCTGGAAATTCTATGGTATCTCTTTGCTCGCACTGGTAGACAAACCTTACTCACTTCGAGAGCCATGTTAGATTTTGAAACTTATGGCTCTCAAACGGGGAAGTGAACAGCTCATCAATAGTGACCTTTGAAATCGAATTAAGTCGATCCGCGACATACTTTTGGTCTCTAACTGTGTCTTACATCAGTATCATCAATCCGTGTAAGTATTGGAGCGCTGAAGCACTTCCTTTTCGATCAAGACTTATAATTGTTAGTCGAGTGAATGTTTTTACTGCCAAATTCCAATATGGCGTTTTCTGCTCGGACATTTTCGTAAATCTCCGGAGGTTGTCCGAACCTAACTAATTCTCAAAATTCATTTCGTTCGTTGCCTATCTCGCACCTAGCAAACCGCCATATTGGAAGTAGGTCTAAAAATCATTCACTTGATGAACAATTTACAAGTCTTGATCGAAAAAGAAGTATTTCAGCGCTCTAATACTTACACGGATTGATGATACTGATGTAAGTCACAGTTAGAGACCAAAAGTAAGCCACGGATCGACTTAATTCGATTTCAAAGGTCACAATCATTCAGCTGTCAAAATGCTCCGTGGGAAAGCTATTACATGTATATCAAAATCCAAATAACTTTCGCAGGAAGTAAGACACACCCCATTCTCTTACACATCATAGTTGTAAGTTTACGACGTGATTCCTCGTATTATCTATGGGAGATTTGTTAGTACTCATTTATATCGATTACGACGCTTATTTCTTTAGAAACATTGACCAAACCAAGCAGATATACAGGGCGTCCATATGGTTCTTGCAAAAGTACTCTATTTTTGTTTCCAAGTCTATGTGACTGAAATGATCACTCAGTCTACCTATACTATTTATGCATTTGAATCTGAAATTATAATGAATAAGTTCTTGAAGAAAAAAGCTAATGGTTGCTATAGTTACAAGATTCGGGGATAGGCAGAGCAGCATTAAAAAAGAAAGATTTGTACATAAAAGATATGAGTTAGAGGTACATACTTAAAGTATACTATTTACAAGACAAGCTAATGTTGCTATGTCACATATCTGATGACATCAATGTGACCTATATTGGTTGTTGAATGCAGCGTCCGTTTTCTTTTGTGAAAATGGCTGCAAAAACAGCAAAAAGATTATGATTTGCAATTACAAATATGCAGTAGCATCAGAATGTATGTTTAACCTAATAATTCAAGGAAACAAACACATGAAGATACTCATAAGGCGTTTTGATAAGAGGCTGTGGTCAAAAGTACCGTTTACAAATGTATAAAGTCATTTACAGATGGTAGAACAAAATTTAAGGTCAATGCTAGATTAGGCTATTCAAGAACAAAATCCAATGAGGATCAATTGGCGTGGATGAAAGCCATCCATACAAGGATCAATCGCCAGAAATAACCCAAATGGGTTCCGCCATCTGTTTGATTAATGGGTAGTGAGACAGCAGAGGTGTATAGATCATTATTGACACCATTTTGAACACCCACACCCTTGAGATAAATATAAAGGACAAAATGGAATCAATTATGAACATTCGAACAAAACTGATCCTTTTTCCCTGCTCCGCCTACCCCGACTCATGTTACTATAGCAACTATAACTTTCCCCTCTCCTAAGACCTATTCATTATAATTTAGGATCTCACTGAATAAATAGTGAAGATATACCGAGCGAAACTTTCAGCCAGATACCCGCATTTTAGATTACTTTTGCAAGAACTTTATGAACGCCCTGTACCTCTAGTATCACTACGGCTTAACATTTCATCTGAAGACGGTCTAGAACTTCCCAAACCTTCTAGAAAGCACGGAAAAGAACTATCTGATGATTTTTGTGAAAAATAGTATTTTTTCAAAAATGTTCGTGCTTTCTCGAAGTTTTGAGAAGTTCTACACCGTGTTTAGACGAAATGTTTACACGTAGTGACATTAGAGGTACATGTATATGTTCTTGGTATGGTTAAGGTTTCTACGAAAAGAAAACGACCATACTTTGTCAAAATGTCAAATAAATGAGTACTTACAAATCTCCCGCCGATAATACGAGAAGTCACGTCTTAAACGTCCTGCGCTACGACGTGTAAGAGAATGGGTTGTGATAGATCCATGCATATGTTGCAATACAATTTGACAACAATCATATATATATATATATATATATATAATATTGATGATAAACATTGTAGGCGAACACTGGAGCGATGTCGTTCATCCCCTTGGCAACAGAGCATTGTGTTCCTCACACAGAACTAAACTTTCCAGAACGATTACAAAATGCTGGATACTCGACTTACTTCATTGGGAAATGGCATATGGGTTATTCAAAGCAATCGTGTTTGCCACAAAATCGGGGATTTGATTATTTCTATGGTAGGGTTCTATAAAATGTTCCAGAAACTAACGCTTCGACACATCCAAATTCATTTCTAATACCACCTGGGTGTTTTTGCTATGCGACAACAGTTTCCATTTAGATAATTGACTCAAACTGAATCCCCTCGTTTTACCCTCGTTGTACACATTATACCTGTGGAAAGTAGAGGCTCTAAGTGCTCTCATTAATGAAAAATAAATTCCGCCATTTGCGACAAGGTGAGGGAATCAACTTTAAAAAGCTGGCCTGCCTGATCTCTATCATTTGCAGACGCTTACACCCACACTTACATGAGCAGAATATGGTTGTACAATATAAAGTAATAATAATTGAGAAGTTAATTTTAATTAGTTGATAGGTGACGTTTTTAAGAAGCTGGCCTGCCTGATCTCGGCTTTTTACTTGTTACAAAGTTGAAAAATTAATTCTTCCATCACCAAGGGGTGAAAAAATAAATCATAAGTTTTCAATGATTTTATATTTTCAATTTAACTGTTCATAATAACAAATAAAGTGTCCTGGACATTATAGTATATTAATTAAGATGTTTAACATAAATGGTTGTATTTGCATTTTGTCTACATAGTTATCACTGAAGAATATGTAAAAATAATGCCAACTTTCTTTTGACGTTTTTACAAAACGTAAAAAATACTTCATTTGTTATTATGAACAATTAAATGGAGAATATGAAATCATTGATAAAAAATTTTGGGTTTGAAAGATCATGATTTGTTTCTTCATTTTACCCCTTGGTGGGGTTAATTGTTCAACTTTATAACCAGCATCGAAAATCAGGCCAGCTCCTTAAAGCTGGCGCTCTCACCTTTCCAATGTTGTATTGAAACCTTGGGAAAAAAGCGGCAATCTTTTGACCCTACTTTGCACAGGTATCGTATCGTACGTGATCCTTTTAGGTAGTTATGTTGGCTGGGACGATCACTTAAATCACTCCAGAAAAACATGCGTAAAAAGAAGCAATGATGCTACAAAACAGTGTTGTTTATTCAGAGGTTCAAAACTACGAGAATGTGTGGGTAGATGCCTTTCAAAAGAATTCGTTCATAACGGTTTGTCTTATTACCTGTAATTAATATTTATTCAAACTTAAACGTAATATTGATAAGGGTTACGTAATGAGATAGTATCTAATGCCAATCGATATGGTATGATAAGCATACACATACGTAACCCTACTATCACACCAAACTAGTTTTCACTACGTTCTCGAAAACGGGCTTCAACTGTGTACGAACGGACTGGACGTTCTTAGAACCGTTTGGGTCTATTTACAAACTTCATCGAACGTACTCGAACGGGTAGGTCCTTTAGAACTTAGAACATGCTCAAAATTTTCTCGTGGTCGATACGTTCTACAATTAAAACAAGTGACAACGTACTAACGACGAGCTGGACGTACTACAAACGGAACCGTCGTACTTCAATCCTACTAGGGACATTTTAACAACGAGTTGAACTGTCTGAGGACGTATTGAGAACGAGGTAGAACTAATTGCAAACGGGTTTAAACTGATTAAGAACGTATTTAAGACTGCTTATGAACGAGTTAGCAAAAATATAGCTATCACACCAAACAAGTTGCCACTGCGTTCTTCAAAACTGGTTTTAAACTGTGTGCGAACGGAATGAACGTAGCTGCAAGTTTCTAAGGTCTATTTACGAACCTCATGAACATTCTCAGACGGGAAGGTGATTTTAGAATTTTGAATCGATTCAATCGGGTCATGATGACCTTCTAGACTAAGGGACGCGTTATACGACGTTGCACACCGACCTGGTGCGACCTGAACGAACTGCGAATGAGATGGGCGCATTGAAGACTGTTTATGAACGAAGTAGCTAATTATTTTAGACATATTTCCCGACCACAGCCAGATTGAGCCCGTTTTACGACGTTTTTGTAGGACTGGAAAGAACGGGTAAGAACTAGTTTGGTGTGATAGGGGGGTAAGATTGCATTTTGCGTTATGCGGTGTGTATAGAAAAGCCAACAAACAAATAATAAATAAATCGTTAAACCCCCAAAACAGGGATTATTGCATTAGTTCCCTCGATGTGCAATGGAGCCATGTTTATTCTCTTTTCAACGATAAGGCATTTCTTCACAAGTCGTCCAATGTGGCTGAATACTTTTTCCTTTTGCGCAATGTGCCAAAGTCGGCCAGGGACCAGGTTTTAGACATTGCAAAAACAGCGGTTTGGGCTGAGTGCTTTTGGATGAAGTTGTGGTATACCCATACTCATATATTATTACATTTCATACCCCTCCATATGGCCACAACTTCGTTGGCGATTCTTTCCATATCATGCATGGCTCTTTGAGTCATCTATGGGTTCTGGTTGAGAACCACAACCTAGTTGGCGATTCTTTCCATATCATAAATGGCTCTTTGAGTCATCTATGGGTTCTGGTTGAGAACCACAACTTCGTTGGCGATTCTTTCCATATCATGCATGGCTCTTTGAGTCATCTATGGGTTCTGGTTGAGAACCACAACTTCGTTGGCGATTCTTTCCATATCATGCATGGCTCTTTGAGTCATCTATGGGTTCTGGTTGAGAACCACAACCTCGTTGGCGATTCTTTCCATATCATGCATGGCTCTTTGAGTCATCTATGGGTTCTGGTTGAGGACCACAACCTCGTTGGCGATTCTTTCCATATCATGCATGGCTCTTTGAGTCATCTTTGGGTTCTGGTTGAGGACCACAACCTCGTTGGCGATTCTTTCCATATCATGCATGGCTCTTTGAGTCATCTATGGGTTCTGGTTGAGAACCACAACTTCGTTGGCGATTCTTTCCATATCATGCATGGCTCTTTGAGTCATCTATGGGTTCTGGTTGAGAACCACAACCTCGTTGGCGATTCTTTCCATATCATGCATGGCTCTTTGAGTCATCTATGGGTTCTGGTTGAGAACCACAACTTCGTTGGCGATTCTTTCCATATCATGCATGGCTCTTTGAGTCATCTATGGGTTCTGGTTGAGAACCACAACCTCGTTGGCGATTCTTTCTCGAGGTATTGCAATGTCTGGTGGAACGATGTGGACACTGGTCTTCACCCAAAAAGGACAAAGTCACAACAAGTCATGTCTTCTAATAGCAGCAAGCCAGTACATTGGCCTTTTCAATGTCTTAACCTTGGTCCCGAGTCGACTTTCGTCCACTACAATGTATGTACCAAAGAATATGGCATGGTATATTGAATGAAACTGATCTAATGGGGATTTCACTTTAAAATGTCATAGTATATATCTTTTAGGCTATTTAGGAGTCGATGATGGGCAAGAAAGCTAATGTTTACTAGATCTAATAGGGATTTCACTTTAAAATATCATAGTTTATATCTTTTAGGCTATTTAGGAGTCGATGATGGGCAAGAAAGTAAATGTTTACTAGATCTAATAGGGATTTCACTTTAAAATGTCATAGCATATATCTTTAAGAGTAGATGATGGACAAGAAAGTAAATTTTTACTAGATCGTTTAGGGATTTCACTTTAAAATGTCATAGCATATATCTTTAAGAGTAGATGATGGACAAGAAAGTAAATTTCTACTAGATCGTATAGGGATTTTACTTTAAAATGTCATAGTATATACTGTATAAACAAGATTAGCATTCATGTACGTTTGTAATAAAGCAATGGATTTTCGAATTATAACACAGCAAGTTTAAATTAAGAAAAGTTATACCCATGGCCTTCTCCACCAATGTGCTACTGCAATATCTTTATCGACGCCTGTGTTGACCAGGACAATTTCTTATTAACATAGAATTAAAAATAAAAAATGAATGAAGTCTTACTTTAAAAATTTCCCATGAAACAGAAAGTTTCAGTTTCCTTTCTGTATCTCACTTGTTGGGTACATGGAGCGGTGAAATAATCCACAGTGCCGAAAAACAATAATGATGCTATATTGGTAATTGGAAGATTCCACTTACAACTATTTCAAAAAATTGTAAATCGATATTAGTATTCTTGAATTTGAATCAATTGTTTAAAGGAATCATCGAGATTTACGGATGGTCCATCTGTTGATTGCTCTTCGCCACTATCAAACAATGTTTATGGCCCTGGAACTTGATCTTTGGGTAAAACAGTGGGTTGGTGTGTCTTTGGCTCTGAATTCACTTGATTGTTGTACCCGATTGCAATATTTTCATCGTCATCATTACATTATATGGACCCATTATTCAAGTTCACAATATTAATGATGAAACCATAGATTTTCTTCTGTAATAGCATTTTCCGGTTGGTGGATTTATATCTAGTCTATCAATTCTCAATTCTTCATAAGGTTGTCTTGTAAGGGTGTGGTCAATTGCTTCACTGAATGAGGAATGTTTATCCAAGCAATGGATACACAGGATATCTGGCCAGTTGTTCTTCTGTAAATAAATTATCATGACAAAAGTAAAATTTCTGATAGCACCCATTTGTTACCGTTCTGGATCCAAATCTACATATTGGCATCCGTTTTATACATATATGTTTACATTTACGAAATGTTGTTCAAATATCTTCTCTATTACAGGAATGTAAAAGCTGAAACTATCCTATATTGTCCTACTATATAATATTGAATATGTATGCAATATTTCAAGACTCAATGTTTAGTAGGAACTCTGAAATCACTAACCTCGATTTGCTGTTATATTTTTGCAATGACCCCATCCCCTATAATGTTCGCAGGCACTTACGATACATTACATGTACATCACTGCATCTACATATTTCGACTAGCCACAGTGTATAACGCATTATTCTAATTTACATATGCACTAATTCGTAAGAGTATAATGAATATTTTTTACATTGTGTTAATTTTTCCGAATTTACAGAATTTTCAAAAATATCATATAGGTATTGATCTAAATGAAAATAAGACGCCAGTAGTTGACGCTGGTGGTGAATTCGGACCTGACTTGTTCACGAGAAAGGCAATGGAGAATATCGAAAAGCACGTTGGTAATGATAATGTAGGTCTCCTAATTGAATTGCTCCTTTAATACATAAAGATTCAATGCAACAACTTACTTTATCGTATCTTCTATTATGTACATTTCGCGGCAGAAGAATGCGCTTGACAATGTGTCACAGTTGAAGTTTGGTGGAACTATTTAGTTGTGGTAACGCTTACTTATAGTACAATCAAGGAAACATTGTTTGGATTTCCTAAACAGAATATCACTAAATTACGAACACATGTATATGATAACTTTGTAGCACATGTTTCTCACGGTGGCGTACGATACCGAGCTTCCAGAGTCGACGGAACACTATCGCAATAAAATTACACAGATAAAAGATACCACGAGGAAGGACTTCGCAGGTGCGATTGCTATATAGTTCTTAGTGTATATAAATAACAATAACATTGAGCTAGACAAACATATCGGTGACCAAGTATCTTATAACCACAAGATGTAGCTAGCGTTTTGAATAAACATGCTAAAAGCAATGATGGTCAGGTAGTATAATAAGATTGAGCTCAGACAAACATAATTATATACAAAATTGGACCCCTGCAACAGGCTATATTTTCCTTAATACTTGCATTAATTGGCTCATATTATCACATGTTGTAGAGAAAGGTCTAAAGTTTGTACAAAATTTTACCAAGTGATTCACTGAAATTGTTTAAACACATAGGATGATCTTAAAACAGCTTTCAGTTAGAGATACAAGTTTAAAACCTTACCATGTGACAAATGGGACACTATTTGAGCAGAAAATACATTTCACACTTTCATTAATTATTCCGAAGCAGTTTTAACCATTCAACAGTCAAGGGGCATGTTACCTACATACACATTTAGATGGGCGCCTCTTGTAGAAGGAGATTGCCCCCTGTGACCAGGAATCCGAGAAGCCCTTCATCAAATATCTTTTAGAAATCAAAAGAAAATCTAGTGTTCAATGTTTTGAGCCACATTTCATTAGAATTGGTCCATGATTTATGAATATATTGACATTTCAAGATCATATAGGGGTATGTTGCGAATTTCTGGAAAATATCTTTGTCTATGGAAACTTAGAACCTTTCTTCGGATCACAATTGCAACTAACAAAGGTAGGATGCTAGAGTTTACGCCATAGTGTGCAGGATTCAAAGCCAAAATCACATTTTATCCATTTTCAGTAATATTTGTCTAGGGCTTATTATTCCTGCAGTGTATGGTACCATTAAAAAATTTAGACCTTCCTCTACAGTATCTTAAAATATAAAAGGATTCCTGCAGGTAATAAGCAGGGGTTCGCTTTTTTGGACCACCCTGTACATGGCTTCACGTTTTTTCATTACTTACAAGATAGAGCCCATGCTTACAATTAACAATTACATTGAAATACAGCTTCACCTCTATCGTAGCAATGGTTAATGCGATTGATACAGGGGTGGGCAAGATCATACAGAAGCTCAAAGACACTGGAATGTGGCAAGACACTGTCCTCGTATTCACAAATGGTAGGTTATCTCCCTCTTATATATAGGGCAGCCCAACTACTCGTGAAATGTGTTAAGCACGACAATAGGGGGTGGATGAAAAACTTTTTTATTTTATTTTTTTAATGCATAGCTTTGCCTAGTCATGTGATTGTGCGTAATATATTGTCAGGATTTACACTCCCCTCCATAAGTTTGGCAACCTTTTTTCCCCCATTGAACTACGTGTTAAAGCCTCTTTACCTTTGAATTTTTATTTACTTAACCTGCGATGAAAATACTTATACTATTGATGGAAACGTAATTTGACTTTAATTCCAATACCTCCAAACTTTCTCAATTTTTTTCCTCAATTACAGTAGGTCGAAAATTGATGATGAATTTGATGGATTTTTGAAAATCGACATTCCCATGTTAACCAATGCGAAATGGTAGGTTTGCCGCAAGTCATATGACAGAATATCCATCCATCCGAGTCCTTGCAAAAAATACGAGTTAGGCAGGTAATTGAATTTGCTAACTTTATTTAACAAAAAATTGATATGTTTCTTCAGGTTCAACAAAGTTAAAGGGCTTTAAAGTCAAAATTGTTTTTCAAAAAACCTCTCCCATTGAAATAACACAGGAGGCGAAAAATTATTTTCAAAAATGACTTTGAAGCGCTGTAACTTTAATATTCATCAAATAAACTAAACACTTAGTGTTCAAAAAAGTTAAACAATTCAATTTTCTATATAAAAATATTTTTTGCTGAATCTTTTACTGAAAAGATATCCTGATTTCTGATTTGCCCCGAACCCTCCATTTCCCATTGGAATACATGGGAATGACGATTTTCAAAAATTCATCATCAATTTTCGACCTATTGTAATTGAGGAAAAAAATTGAGAAAATTTGGAGGTATTGGAAATAAAGTCAAGTTACGTTTCCATCAATATTATAAGTTATTTCATCGCCGGTTAAGTAAATAAAAATTCAAACGTAAAGAGGCTTTAACACGTAGTTCAATGGAGAAAAAAGGTTGCCAAACTTATGGAGGGGAGTGTATATATGTTTTCTTATGCCAAATAAGGAGTTTTGTGGGTCGAACGATTGTATTTATGCACTCTGTTAATGTTTGATTGACACCCCAATTAAGGATAGCTTGCCGTAACATGGAAAGGCATCTCACGTTTAGTCACTGCTGCCTGAATCGAATACTTATTAGAAGTTCTTACTATTAGACTATGTTATTCTTGCAGTTGACTATACATTTATATTATATAATAACATATTTTGACAATTTGATAGCAAACGTGGATACACTACTTCACAACTAGCAGGTACATGGCTCAGAGGAATGGCAGATCAGTGAAATTTGAGGTTAATTTTAACCATTTAAGCATTCTATCAATGAACATGCATTCTCTTTTTATTCATTTTCAGACAGAGGAGGACATGTGAAGAATGGTAATAATAATTGGCCATTACGAGGCTCAACTTATAATTACTTCGAGGGAGGAATTCGGGGCATTGGAATTGTTGCAGGTCCCGTCGTGACAAAGAAAGGTGATTTTTGATGTTGTAGGCTAAAATGCGTTGGTAACTGTGCAGAGTTAAATAAATATTTATATATTTATGAAACAATTTATGTAAAAATAGAAACAGAGTGTGTCTGTCTCTATAGGTAAATAGGTGCAGAAAATTCCTTTTTTGTTTGCGTGTTTCATTAATTATTCCAAATAAAAGTTGTGAGTACATTTACAATGTTACCTTACATAACATGAACATAACGTTTTAAATATATAACTTATCTGTCACCTAATGGATCCTAATGGATATGAGTTTCATTTATAACTTTATAACAGGGCGATCTCATTTTATATTTAGCAAGGACGTGTGAGGATCCCAATTCACAATTATATCATGTGGCTGACTGGTACAAAACATTCCTGAATCTCGCAGGGGCAAATGTAGGCGACTCAGGGGCAGACTCACACGACATTTGGTCATCCATTAGGTAATTTGATAAAATAACGGAATTTAACACCTGTTATTGCACATTCTGACCATATATAAGCCTAGTCAGGTTTAGAATCATCAAATCCGAGGATAGTTCCATGATTAAATATATGTGCGCTAGTGCCGAAAGAAAAGAACCAACAATATTAGATTACACAGCAAGAAAATGAAAGTACATCAGCCATAAGGGAAATACATCCCAACAATCCCAAACCATGATTTAACAAGCCCACAGCGCAACGCCAGGGGCAATTGCATTTATTCTGAAGCCATTACGATACATATTAAAGTAACTGATTACCAATACTAATAGAATCGAAAATAGTTTTAGATAGTTTAATGTATGTATATTCATAATAAAGAGCATTACGTTTCAAATGACGTGTGGCAGACGAAATCCAGTCTCTAAATCCATAAGCACATCAAAAGGTCATCATCCATCCTCAAAGTCGACGCCATATAATGCAGCACAAAATTTCACTATGGCTGGTTTTGATCATTTGAAGTGTTTTTTTTTTTTATTTTAGTTCATGCAGCCCAAGTCCACGAACTGAGATTCTCCACAGTCTTAATCATGCCATGCCAAAGCTCGGGGAACCTATCGACAGAGGTACATTTGACAGCTCTATTACTAGCGTGTTGAGGATGGGAGATTATAAACTGTTCACTGGAAGTAAGTATACAAACCTGGAAGGTGTCTAATTACTCATCCGATCTTTCAACCAATATGTTGTACATTGGCCCTCTCTCGTTGTTCAATGACATGCAAAATATCGACGTTTTTAATATTCCGGTAAAATATCTATCTTCTAGTCCTCAGATGAAATGGAATAATCCTTTTGAGGGTAAAACCTAATATTTCAAACCTGAAGACTACAATCCACAAGATAAAATATCAACGTATTGATTTTCAATCACATTTTGTATTATGCAAACCATAGGGATCTCTTTGATCGGGGGTTTCACTGGATGGAAGGCACCGGTTGAAGAACCCGAAACCACCACGATAGAGCCCGACCAGAATGTTACAAGGAATGTCCACCTATATAACATTAAGGATGACCCACATGAGATGAAAGATTTGAGTGATGAAATGAAAAATAAGGTACAATATAAACATGTTTGTCGGAACAAACAGTTTGTCAATTTACCATTGATTTCACCACTTCCAAATAAATGAGCTATTATATGGAACTTTGATGAATGCAGCTTTTAAGTCTTGCTACAAGCCCTTGTGACACAGGGTCTTGTTACCACAAGGTTGGTTCTTCCCACTGCTATTACTTGTACATGCGAAATGCAAACATACTCAAAGGCATTACCTGCAGTTGTATGATTCGATAAGTAGGCAAAATCTAATGAGAGTGACCCCAACCCTGACAGAATATTCCCTCACAAATGATCCAAGTGTCACATTGGTGTGATAACTTTTGTATATAATCCTAAATAGGTCAACAGTAAGAAAAGAGATTATTAATTATGAATAGAAATATACTCATACATTTTCAATTTAAAAACAAGAACCACCGAGACAAAAGTGTTGTCTATCAGTCTATGAAGAATATTTTATAAAATAAGGTTTACAAAGGGGAGAATGAGGCTTAGGCAATAATTCATTCCTCCATGTGCACTGATTTATTTGGAGAATGCTCTGGCTGAAAACATCAATGAATCTTGATTGGCTCTTTTTAAATGAGTCAAACTATTTCCACTTCCGATGATTAAGAGGGGAGCATCAGTACCTAGACTGTGATTGCAGGAATCAGTTGTTAGTTCAGTTGTGTATATAGTCCAGGGTCTTAAAGCAAGACTCAATGTATTCAGTACAATTGTGTATACAGTCCAGGGTCTTAAAGCAAGACTCCAGTTGTCAGTTCAGTCGTGTATATAGTCCAGGGTCTTGAAGCAAGACTCCAGTTGTCAGTTCAGTTGTGTATATAGTCCAGAGTTTTGAAGCAAGACTCCAGTTGTCAGTTCAGTCGTGTATATAGTCCAGGGTCTTAAAGCAAGACTCCAGTTGTCAGTTCAGTTGTGTATATAGTCCAGAGTCTTGAAGCAAAACTCCAGTTGTCAGTTCAGTTGTGTATAGTCCAGGGTCTTGAAGCAAGACTCCAGTTGTCAGTTCAGTCGTGTATATAGTCCAGGGTCTTGAAGCAAGACTCCAATTGTCAGTTCAGTTGTGTATATAGTCCAGGGTCTTGAAGCAAAACTCCAGTTGTCAGTTCAGTCGTGTATATAGTCCAGGGTCTTGAAGCAAGACTCCAGTTGTCAGTTCAGTTGTGTATATAGTCCAGGGTCTTGAAGCAAGACTCCAGTTGTCAGTTCAGTCGTGTATATAGTCCAGGGTCTTGAAGCAAGACTCCAGTTGTCAGTTCAGTCGTGTATATAGTCCAGGGTCTTGAAGCAAGACTCCAGTTGTCAGTTCTGTTGTGTATATAGTCCAGGGTCTTGAAGCAAGACTCCAGTTGTCAGTTCAGTTGTGTATAGTCCAGGGTCTTGAAGCAAGACTCCAGTTGTCAGTTCAGTCGTGTATATAGTCCAGGGTCTTGAAGCAAGACTCCAATTGTCAGTTCAGTTGTGTATATAGTCCAGGGTCTTGAAGCAAGACTCCAGTTGTCAGTTCAGTTGTGTATATAGTCCAGAGTCTTGAAGCAAGACTCCAGTTGTCAGTTCAGTCGTGTATATAGTCCAGGGTCTTGAAGCAAGACTCCAGTTGTCAGTTCAGTTGTGTATATAGTCCAGGGTCTTGAAGCAAGACTCCAGTTGTCAGTTCAGTTGTGTATATAGTCCAGGGTCTTGAAGCAAGACTCCAATTGTCAGTTCAGTTGTGTATATAGTCCAGGGTCTTGAAGCAAGACTCCAGTTGTCAGTTCAGTTGTGTATATAGTCCAGAGTCTTGAAGCAAGACTCCAGTTGTCAGTTCAGTTGTGTATAGTCCAGGGTCTTGAAGCAAGACTCCAGTTGTCAGTTCAGTTCTGTATATAGTCCAGGGTCTTGAAGCAAGACTCCAGTTGTCAGTTCAGTTGTGTATATAGTCCAGGGTCTTGAAGCAAGACTCCAGTTGTCAGTTCAGTTGTGTATATAGTCCAGAGTCTTGAAGCAAAACTCCAGTTGTCAGTTCAGTTGTGTATAGTCCAGGGTCTTGAAGCAAGACTCCAGTTGTCAGTTCAGTTGTGTATATAGTCCAGGGTCTTGAAGCAAGACTCCAGTTGTCAGTTCAGTTGTGTATATAGTCCAGAGTCTTGAAGCAAAACTCCAGTTGTCAGTTCAGTTGTGTATAGTCCAGGGTCTTGAAGCAAGACTCCAGTTGTCAGTTCAGTTGTGTATATAGTCCAGGGTCTTGAGGCAAGACTCCAGTTGTCAGTTCAGTTGTGTATATAGTCCAGGGTCTTGAAGCAAGACTCAAGTTGTCAGTTCAGTTGTGTATATAGTCCAGGGTCTTGAAACTTAACGATGAAACCAGTAAACGTAAGGTAAATCGTTGATACATTAATGAACAAATTTATATTTTGAAGGTAAAGGAGATGTTAGACAGGCTAGACGTATTACAGGAATACACTAAACCTGAACCGTTTTCTTGCCCTGATCCAAAAGGACGTCCTGTGCTAGAGAGAAAGGATATCGTTTCTGATGAAGCAGTATACGTATGGAAACCATGGCTATAAATCAAAACGAGGCCCATGACAAATATTGTTTAACCATCTGAATTTATATTGCCACTTAAAATGTTGTATCGAATGTTTTTGAAAGAATGACTTTATTTAAATTTCCCGCCATTTTTAGCAGCAAAAGTTTCGATTTATTGATTATCATATCATCATTTTGCTCCTCTTAATATTTTGTACCTATGAATCACTTTCAAAATAAAACAATATCAATGGTCTATAGTACTTAAAAAGTTTAATGTTTCAACTATTTATCAAAGGTCAGTATCACGTGAAGGTTACGGCAGTATATGAGCGGTGGAAGATATCGTTGACTTGTGAAACATGAAATCAAAATGTCATTTGATACTTTAATTGATAAATGAGATAAGGCAATAATAAAACTTTTAGAAAATATGACTGTAATGCCTGACCTCTTAAACGCTGTACGGAATTCCTTTTGATAAAATCTAGAAACCATTTAGACAGCAGAATGATCAGTCAAGAGCACTGTGTGGTATGATTTATCAAAGTCAAATATTCAATAATGAGTTTGAAAAAGAAGAGAAGAGAACATGTTGACAAGGGGTCCCTATTCATAATTTTTCGAATTGATATTTATATCATCATGGGTACTTTACTTGAAACAAAACATATTGTTTTAATAAAAACCACTGTATTTATGCCAAGAAAGTACTCATGGTGAAAGATACCACTGTCTAAAATCACTTGCCATACTGCACATGGTCTTTTTCAAAATTGTGTAAGGTTTTGAAGGCAAGGGGACAAGCAACAAGTTTACCTTTATTTGACCTTCTAAATTAGGTGTGATTTAAAATTAAATTAAGCAAAATTAAAATAAGAGCTGATTTTCATTGATTTTTTACCACAAATTCCATACATATCAATTTTACTAACGCTTTTTACTAGATTTCCTGACCATTTTTCAAAATTCAAAAACATTTTAGAATTATTGTCCTCAAGATCTTGTTACCCTGTGAATTTTATCACGATTTGATAAAAAAATAAAATACTAAAAATTTATTCTTAGATAAATGTAACGGTCATTGTTTTTGACGTTGTAAGGCTGTTTGCGCCATATACTGCTCATTGTTTTGCTTTGGTATTTTGCCGCCATAATGTTACGCTAATCGTCCCCAGTTTCACGCGACGTGTAGAAGTATCCAAATACAATGTATAAATTGTTCTATGAAATAAGATAAATAAATAATAAAGAACTTGAAACGATGAGAAATGTGTAAATACCTCGGTATGTCTACCATCGTGGCAATAGAAGTCCATGTGTAAATCCTTCCTTAGAAAATATCACATTAAGGTGCAGTGGTACTTAACAGAAATGACAAAACAGAAAGTGACAAAAAATGTGGCATTTTTAGAAATTTTTTGAACAAAGATAACAGAGTTCTGTTTTGACCTCCATTCAATTCAAATAGTTCCACATATCATTTACAGGACAAGGATCACAATGTACATGTACAGTACATGGTCAGAATGACACAAATATGATGAAATAACTTTTTCAGCCCTCTTAAAATGTGACTGGAAAATAGCTAAAAGTAGGAGCTTAGGAAAGGTCACTGAACAGAATATTTTGAATTTTTCTGAAAATGTGCCCAATATATTGCTCTAAATTATACATTCTTTGAAAATGTGATAAAAAATGAGAAAAACTGAATTGAAAGGCGATCTATTTTCCTTTTTATGACCGCCATTTTTGTTTCAGACAATTTTCTAAAATATCCAAGATTGTATCAGTTAGAGCAATATATTGGGTACATTTTCAGAAAAATTCAGAAGATTCCCTTCAGTGACCTCTCCTGAGGGGGCTTATTTTACCTATTATTTAGTCACATTTTCAGCGGGCTGAAAGAGATATTTCATCATATTTAGGGTCATTCTGACCATGGACATTGTGATCCTGGTCCTGTAAATATTATGTGGAACTATTTGAATTGACTGGAGGTCAAAACAGAAATCTGTTATCTTTGTTAAAAAATGTCTAAAAATGCAACATTTTTTGTCATTTCCTGTTTTGGCATTTCCTGTTAAGTATCACTGCACCTTAAGGAACATAACGACATGAAACGCTTAGGACACAACAGATAAACGTGACTCATAAATGCAAACGTATTTATATGAGTGAACATTGAGTGAAATACTAAGGAAATTGAATTAGGCCAATTGATTTCTATACTAATAAATGCTACCTGTAGATTATATTGAATAATCATAATTCGCGTTTGAATGCAACGTTAACGTTATACTCGACGCCATCCGTATCCTCGGCTCGTTCATTCCGCACCCAATATTTCTCACAGGTTCTGTCTGTGTAAGGTGTTTGAATAAAGTTTGGAATCACGTTTTTTTGTAATTCAAAATAATATTTCAAAATAAATATTAGTAATCTACTAATTTAATCCCCTGATTATAAAATGGTTAATTTGACAATGTAAGTGTAAGCACTAAACCTCACTAAAGGAACGTGTTTTAACGTTTTTGATTGCTCGGATAAAAGCTAATTGAAAATTTTTGTTGAGCCCTATATTTTTAACACTGTTTTGACAGGAAGTCATGCCCAAAATGAAAACTGAATAAAACAACATTTATCCTAAATGTAGATCAAAATACTCACTCAGACAGTAGTAATGCTGATCATTTTTAAGAAAGAACTATAGACACCCCTGGGGTCACTTAACATTTTTTGAAAAAATGCAATGTCGTTAATATCCTTGATATGTAGGATCAAATTGTAAATAAATATGTATATTTTCAAGAAATAGCAATAAAAAGCATTCAAGATTCCTGATATAAGTATATTTTGGTTGATTTGGGAGGTATGTATCACTTCCTGTGAAAATGTGATTTTTTTATCAGTCTCAGAAAATGTCTCCAGAATGTATAAACCCAACTTGGCAGATGTCCCATTATTTGATTGTGTCACTCTATACACTCATTGGATTAATATTTTGTACATATAAATAGACATATTTCAATAGTCGTTGAGTAGGGGTTAGATATGTTTGCAATTGTGTTGACCTACTTCTTTTTGGATAGAGGAAGGTCATGATAAACTCTTGCTTTGTTCATATAACGCTTGGTTCTTACCTAGAAAGTTATATGTATTGAGGGAATATTGCATTTCTAAGGTACTTCTTGAGATATGTAAAAATCTAGGTAAGGACCAAGCGTTGTGCAAAAATGGAACTTTTCTGCAATTTTCAGCATGAAATAAAATGATGTGAGCCATTTTGAAAATCCTTAGATTTATTGTGACAGTTGTGTTTTATATATTTGGGTATATTTTCTTTATTTATATGACCTTTCATGAACTTATATGTATGCTTGCACTGGAGCATGACCTCTTGAGAAGCATATATCTTTACCATGGCTCTAAGCAACATAATAACATGCAATTCCTTTCAATACATTCATATGAGATGATTGTTGTACAATCATTTTATCTTGATGTTTTGTGTATGAATAATTTTTTTATATTATCACAGTTCACTGGCTGATCATACCAATGTTCATATTTAAAAATCCATCTCAACTTTTTTGTACAGAAGAAATATACTGTAAGTCACAATCAGTTGGCGGAAAAAACGACATTTGCTAATAAAATGCCCAAAGCAAAGGGAACTGCAAGAGTGAACTACAATCTCCCAGTAGCCCCTTTATGGAGACAAGAGGGTTGCATCTAAATCATAGTAGACTCTCTTGAGATCAAGCCAACCAATTTAAACGATGCATAGATGACCATCTTCAAGTGGATGGGAAATATACCATCATTGTTAAAAAGATACATATGGTCTAATGTGTAAAAGTCCAGTAATCGGTTTGTGTCCTCTAAATCTCATTTTACATGGGTGGAGTATAACCCAGATCCAGATGTATGTAATAGTATTGATGCAATCACTGGATGATGTTGTACATGCCTTGTTGGGAGTAAATTAAAAAAAATTCTTCTCTTCTGACATAGTTTCGCAAACTTTTTTTGTAGACAATTGTTCTAAATGAAGTATAAAGAAGGTGACTATTCAATATTTTGTTTGTATTTTTGACTTGTTATATTTTATATGTTTTGGAATGTTTCCCAATATGCTTTGTCACTATTATGTAAGATAATAGCAACATGATCAATTAAAAAATCTTAAATGACTGAAAATAATGATTACTTTGATAATAAATAGAAACATTGACAATAATGATGTGGAAATGTGATTTTTCCTTGAAAAGGTCATTTTATACACGTTAATATAATGACCTATATTTTGAAATATAAATGTCAGAATGACCTAGTTTTGGGATCTGGTTATCAAACAAAGTCTCTTCTTTGATATCCTGTACATTTTTTTCTAAATATCTTGGGGGCTAATATAGGGTCTTAAAGCCACTCGTCCTTTAATGTAAATGAGACTTTTTTCGTCCATGATTATATAGATAAAGAATATCTGGTCTCAGTAACTCTCTATGGTGTAGTGGTGGGAGATTTGGACTCAACCAGAATTTATTCCAAAGGATTTGGGTTCAAATCACACTGATGGAATATGTTTTTATTCTTTATTTTTGTTTTCTTTCATTTTGATCCACAATATTTCTAAAATTTTATATATGACACTTTAATCATAGTTATTATTTTCAATGGTTTTAATTTTTAGATGAAATCATTGAAAGTTTCTTTAGTGTAGTTGAGCAGCTATTTGGACGCATTTTGCCCCAAATTGCAATACTGTTAGACAATGGAATGGAGAAGTTCAAAAGTTCCAATCTTTAACTATTTACCATTTTTTAATACCAATAAAATCCAATTTTCTCGAGACTCCATATTTAATTATCTTCCTTGTTTACGATGAAATGAGGCCCTCTCCACCCCTGGATACACATTTGCAAGCCGCGTGGACGTAAATCACAAATTGGTATATGAATAATATCAACAATACATCATCATTGTTTCATTCGAGAAAAATAACAAGAACTGAACTCAATTACATAGTCCCAGA